ACGCCTCATGCCCTCTCGAAGAGCTACCACGATCTCCAGAGGGGGGTGATATCTGTCAGGTGGAACTAAACCTGAGGCACACTCAGTTATACGTATATCATCTAAATCTGAAAAACACAAATCAAGCATGTTTCCCTGGCAATTGGGAATACAATTGTGTTGCTTTAGATTCGTAAATGATGCAAAGTTAAGTAAGAACGTAGATTTCTGAGCAAGGTAGTAATTATTAGAAGACGCTGTAGCTGTTTCCCAGCTTATATTGGGGACATTGAAATCACCAAGAACAATAAATTTGAAATTATCTAGAGCACTAGTTGTACTTTCAATAGCAAGAAGACATCGGTTAAATTCATCAGGAGAGGTGTCGGGCGGCAAGTAGTATGCGCCAAGCAGAATGCGTTCACCATTGACACTTTGCAGTTCTACCCACACTGACTCAAGCGATGTCCAAGCGATAATAATAATAATAATAATAATAATAATAATAATAATAATAATAATAATAATAATAATAATTTTTATTTTGCGTGCCCGAAAACAGCCACATCGGTCTTCGCCTTGGTGCACCAACACAAACAATAAAACCAGCAAACAAACAAAAAATACTAAACACACACGTGTAAGATTATTCAAATGGCGACGGTACATTGCAACAGCTGCAGATATATCAAGGTGGAGTTGAGCGATGGCGTTATATAATGAGACAATAATGCCAGGTAGTGCGTTCCAGTCTTTTATGGCCAATGGTAATGTAGGCATTTGATAAGGGACTGTGTGCTATAAAATTTCACGTAATTTTCAAGAATGGTCAAGACGAGTGAAAAGATCAGTGACCACACTCTAAAGAAATCCCGTGCGTCTACTTTCCCGCACAGCACTCCGAGAACCAATCACCCCAACTTACGGAGGCAGCTCAGCGAATGAAGATGCCGAAACATATGCTTAGACCAAAAAACGCAGTCTGAGTTCTGACATTAAGCGATGCAAAACGCCACGCTTGCATTGCTTTGTGTCACAACTCAGACTGCGTTTTTGAGTCTAAACATATATGTTTCGGCATCGCCATTCGCTGGGTTGCCTCCGTAAGTTGCGGTGATTGACTTTCCGGTAGTCATGCGGGAAAGTAGACGCACGGGCTTTTTTTTAACAAAGATTCTTTAAGATGCTTGTTGTGATCACGGAGGACCATCGATACAGGACCGCACGCCGGTACGAGGCTCATCTATAGATCGAAACGGGCTGGGGTGGGTTTGGGTTTCCTGGGTTGTTGATGGACACAATTTATACTCACAGTTACTGGGGCGAGCCGCCTTGGGGCCTGCGTCGACGAGGAACTGAGGCGCGTACCACGAACACAGAGCCCAAATAATCAGCAACTCGAACGCAGACGAAGGCATTGCTGCAATCCATTCGACGAAGGCAGTGAATATATCATATGAGCTATTTAGTTTTAGTTTTAGGCTATAAAATCACACAAACAAATATAAAAAGTCGAACAAACCCGCTCGAACGACTGCCGTGTGGTCAATTTAGGATTCCGACGGTTCTCTCATTTTGATAGCAAACGTTGTCACACTGCCCTTTCCAACAGGTGTTAATGTAGTAAGGTAATTTTGCCAAATTATGCATAAAGCGCGTGTTCGCTTCATCTAAACGAATCAAAGTACCCCGGGGAAAACAAACAAACAATGAAAGCTTTAACTAACGCAAACAAAAGACTGTCGATACAAGTGTTCTAGAATTTGACAAGTAAGGTAAAGCTTACACTAACAAAATTTAAGATCCTAGAAGAGAGTTATTTACTCCTTTAAGCGGTGCAATATATGATACTTGCAGTGAGGATCCGTTATTTTTTTATTTCATCAAAACAAACAAGTTAAACGGAGCAAAAGATATCACATCTTTCTCTGACAGCCGAAGTCGTGCGAAACGTTTGAGCAGCTAACGAACATATGCAAATAAAATTGCGTTTTCTCTCTCTTGAGGTTACGAGGAGAATATCGAAAATGATATAATCCTTGCAATAAGGTTCGTCCTGGGAGTTTAGTGTTAACTTTTCTTTGCTCCACCTCCTTCGTCATGAGCTGTGTACAATTCGCTTACCTCGATCTCCAGGTGTGTGTGTGTGTGTGGCGTGCGGCTATCGAGGAGATGCAATCACGACGGGGGCGGGGAAGGAGAACTCGACAACCCTTATAACTGGGAGTCACGACGTGGAAGTCGGACTCGGTCATCTACAAGCCAAACTTTCGTAGACGGTTACAAGAAAACAGAGAAAGTGAACAAGCCGATGTGAGAAAGCCAAACGGGCGGCAGGCGTTAGTTGAATCTGACGTGCGTGCTATAGATCTGACAAAGCTTCCATGTCCGCTCTCTTTATTTTTTTTTTACTAGTGGGAACAAACTCCAACTCGCGAAAAAAAAAAGAAAGCACATGGCGTCAGAAGACCGAACTGAGTGACTCAACTATCAAGGTGTTTTTTTTTTTTTTTTTGTCAGAACTTCTGATCAGTGGGTCTCGCCGGTTAGCGTAACAATGATGGTCGGCAGACTTGAAAGGAAAAGCGAAGAAAAAACTTAATGGAGGGTCTTGTAATGGAAATAAAAGGATCATATTCACGGCTTGGGGGAGAGAGGGCACGGAAAACTGGTTATTCAGAAACATAGCAGGCAATTTGTTTTCAGCTTCGTCATGCAACGGTTTACGTTGGTCCCTCCGCGACAAAAATGTGGCAAGCGGCAACTACGTTCTCAGAATGCGTAGCGTTATCCTAATGCAATTATCGAAGCCGCCGATCTGGAAGCACGGCCGCGTGCATACCGCAAAAAGAAATGTAGTTTCAACTACAGTTTTAATAAAAAGGTTTTTTCTTCTTTTTTTTTTGAGCGAACGGTTTTGCTGAATTATTTCGTGAAGCCGAGCGTGCAATTTGATAAAGGCAAAACAGAGCTAAAAGAGATGAACGGCACAAGAATCATGAAATAAAGAGAAAGGCCCCTAGAGACAGTAATACACGCACAAGCCGCCCAACACGCGTCCAAAACTCTCGTCGTCTGCGTTCGCGCAACATTTCCTGATGAAATGTACGTACTTTATCACCTAAAATAGCTAAAGGAGCCGTACGACATTATTGGACCGGAAAATGAAGTCAGCGACGAGTGTCCGTGACGTCGATCCCCCCCACCGGCATCGCAACCCCCCTGTCCGTATCGCAAGGTGACGTGAGCAGTGGGGCGCATGCGCAAAGCTAAGGGATTGACGTCACGGGCGCTTTTTGCCCGCTTAGTTTCAGTTTGAACCCGTGTACGATGATGACATTTCTTGCCCCGTAGCGCGCCCACTACGAATTTTTAAAAATCGATTTTTCACGTCGATTCTGAAACTACGTTATGTTCCAGAAAATTAAAATGAAAGAAAAGTTAAACGAAACTGTTAAGGTAACTAGCTCAATAATATCTAATTGTGTCTCTTCTACGGTGGTTGCCATGATGAACAACGTAGCCCCAAGGCTAAAAAAGACAAAAACAAAATCTAATTCTAATATTTTTGAAAAACACCCTGTATATAGTATATACACAACTTGCACAATACGTTATTGCACCATGCTGGTGGCCATTCCTATTCGTTGTTCTCGTAAAATGACAAACTCGGTGGTGCGAAATATGTGCTGCCAAAGTGCGCGCTCAGCTGCAAGGACAGCAAGGGGGCCGTCAAAATGACACCGGATGTGACGTCTTTGCCAGCGACGTATGGGCAAGGGCTGTTCGTCACATCGTCGCCCACAAGAAAAACGCCTTAATCACTCCCAATCATTTGATTAAAGAAAAAGAAGTACAAGGGATCACACCGATCGAGTGTCCTGTGACAGCGATAGCTGTTGTGTTGTTGAAGAATGTACTTCAGGAGATTTGCGAAGCTTTGCCCTTAGTAGAGTAGTTACAGGAAGCGTACTTCAGTAGACGTGTGAAAGGCGCTTTCGCACATCTCCGTCCGCCCTGCGGTCTATGCTATTCTCGTGCCGCTGCAGCCTTCGCGATTGCCATTCCCGCTCCTCGGATGGAGAGCGAATATCAGGCTCGCCGGAGAACCTTTCAGAATTCCAAAGCGGCGGCAGAGAGGGGGAGGGAAGAGGGAAAGATGCTGAAGGATGCTGAATACTGATCCATCCATCCATCCATGCTGAATTATCCTGCGTCACTAAAAGAGGCGGCTGTAGGGCGCAGATTAGAAAGAGTTCGGCTGGGACTCGGGTTCTCACTGGTTGGACACGAACAGACGATATATGTTTGTCACGATTCAGAGGGGAGTGCGTAAGGATCCGAATGTTAGATACGAAAACTCGAATGCCCAAGGCATGCAAAGAGTGGGGGCGATTGGCAACGCTCCTATTACTAGTTTCTATCCTTGTGTTTTGTATACCACGCGAACCCAGCGTGGTTAGACCAGCCAAACGACCAAGCAAAACATGACCTCTCCGAATCGTTCTACGGAAGGTCCCTAGGTTCAATCGCGGGGACAAATTGGTGCTTGGACGCTGGTCCGCTTGGCGGCGATACTTAAACGACTCGGATACCGTTTGTGCTGTCTGCTTCACAACATTCGACCCTAGCATCAAGGAGGCCCCAACGCCGCCACTCATTGGTTGCTACCGCCATCTCTTCAGTCGCTCCAGGCTGCGGCTCCCATCCGTCGCCACTAGTATCAGCGGTTATCTCTCCCTCTCCCCCCGCCCCCCAACTAATGATGGCCGCCTGGCCTCTGACTCTAACATACACGCTAGTCTTTTGCCAGACCCCTCTCTCACGATGGTGTTGTGTTCGTGTCTATTCTATTTGCAGGGTTCGACCTTGTTTCGATGATGTCTCCGTTGTGTCAGTTTTTCACGCCACTGGGCCGTCGTCAAGAAACACCAGCAGCATCTTCCACCCCCATAAAAAATATATATATAATAATTTTAAAAAAATTCGACAACTGACGATTTTATTTAAGTACACTAAGCTCTTTCACACAGGCATTTTTCGTAAATCAAGTTCATCGTGTATACTGAGAACACTGGGAGGCGCATTCCCAGTTAGAAGCTGGGTCCGCCCGAGGGGCCAGCCCAAGGCTTCTCCAGGGAGTCGGTGCTGTTCAGCTGCGTGCTCTTGGTGGACGACTGACTGCCGATGCTTCCACCCAAGATGGCCTTCTTGCCACGTTTGTCCTGACCACCGCCGGTCTGTAACCGCAATTAAAAAAAAAACAAAGCTTCAAAGGATGCACGCGATCACAAAGTCTACGTTTTGCAACGCTTGTGGCCTAGAACAACGTCGAGACTAAGCACTGCCAGCGGACATATAAAAAAGCCATGCCACCCATGCAATCTTGAGTAGTACCGCAATTATACGTGAACATGTTTGGATATCGTCCGTTGGTGAGACTGAAGCGTATACAGGAGGTTCTCAAGAATGATCCGCGAGAAATGTTTGCCGGATGTTTTTTTCGTCAGCGTAATTTCATCTTAAATTTAGAACCAATATAACGAAAGAAACGTTTGTCACAACCGTCCTCACGAGACACTGAGGCTTACACTAATCAAATGTTTGTTTCGTCATCAACCAAATGTCATGACGTAGGGGGTTTGCGGGCACGTCACACTTTTGTGCGCTTCCTCCCCTCGGCCTCAACGGGAACGTGATCGCAACAGCGCAGACGACGGAGAAGGGAGCACATGAAAATGCTCGCGATAACCTGTGACGTCAGGATTACAAATTGATAACTTCCTGAGACAATCCCAGGACCGTGGTACCGCGCAACAAAACGGTTGAGTTGAGGAAACTAAACAACTTACAAATAGCAAAAAGAAATTGCAAGGCATTGACACAATACGTTGTGATTATTTCTATCTAAAATAAAAGCCCTATTAGATAACCCATTTGTTGAGTTGTCTAAAATATACCCTCAAAATATATACGCAAGTAATTAAAAACTAAAGCCGGAAAGTTATTCAGATGACCCACAAAAAAGGTATTTGGACGTAATATGGAACACAAATTAAAAACAATATTCAAGTCCATATAATGTTCGCTTTTCCCCGCATGGCTACCGCAGCCTTTCTTTTATTGAACTTCGGATGATTGCCGTGAATGCTTAAAGCATTTTTTTATTTTTTCTTTTGTGTTTGATGCAAGCTTGTCTGGAGCATCATATGCAGAACAAAACTTTGCTCCAGCCAAAAAGAGAAAAAAAAAAGCTAAAATGTTAAGTACGTGCGAGCGATCCGGCAATAATTTATGCTTTAAACGTTCTCGTAACTTAACTGTGAAGTCCCTCGACTGTGATCACGAAGGTTGCGAGGTGAGAATTTTCAGGAAGCCGCGTTTGGCTCGTTGGCTTTGTTTTAGTAAAGAAAACAATACGCAAACAGGACGACTAAAATACGTACATTTTATCACAATTATTTCAAATCATGTAAGAAAAGTCCAGCTCCTCGTGGAGCATTACCAATTTCTCCCTCCATATAAAGAATTAAGATATATGCAAATGCATTTTTGATTATATCTATGTTATCTGATCAAGATGTACACGCTTCAAGAACCAGAAGCATCGCTTCTTCCTCTGACAACCACATCTTGTATGGATTACTTTGCTCGGAGTATGAACATGCATTGAGCAAAACTTCCTTTTGTCTTGAGGTGGAAACGAGTATAGAGGTTTGCAAGTACCACCTCTGGGAGCCGCCATCTTGCTGCTGGAGTGGGTAGATCGTCTGATAGTCAGAAATTTCTGAGGCGTACCCACGGTCTCAGCAGTGCTTGACTATCAGACGATTTACCCATGCCAGCAGCAAGATGGCGGCGTCCAGAGGACGTACTTGAACCACATCTATAGAAGCCATAACAAAACTATAGAGCCTTGCAGTATGCGTTGATCAGGTTTCGAAAAAAAATATATATATTTGAGGATATGCTTTTGCTTGGTTTGTTTCTAGCTTACGAATGACTGGAAGAGTAGCTAGCTGCTCGGGCATAAACGATTTGTCGTAAGGCGTCTTTGTGGATTTGTTATTACCGGCTAAAATCAATCACGGACAGTGATTGGGGCATGATCCCGCGCCTTTTCTTCTGGGCGTGACTGGTCCAGCCGGTGATAGGAAACGCACGAAGAGGACGAGTGCCCTGATGAATCCTTTTTGGTGCTGCTTTATCGGCTCCAACAAATCCTAGCATCGACCGCGGCCGGGTGTGAAACGGAATATAAAGGCGTCCAGAGGGGCAAGCACGTGCGATTCCAAGACTGCCAGAGTTGTTTCTAGTTTTCTACGTTCACAGGGTACACGTGGTTGCCAGTACATTACCTTGCCGAAAGCCGTGCCACGTGTTTTCTTTTTGAACATCTTGATGAGCGTCGTTCGGGCTTTGTCGTTGCAGGCGATGTGAAAGGCAAACATGGCCACCCCCTAAACCGGAAAGAAAACCAGAAAACCGCATTTTACCATATTCCATATATGCAAAGACTATACGACGCAGTTAACTTAAAGAAGTGGTACACGTATACAAATCCTTGCTCTTAAGGATTACTTTACAACTCTCCCTATGGCAGACACATCTCTGTATTCCGTTCCCAGTCAAAATTGTCAGAATTATGATGTTCTAACGTTTAACGGGCTAAAGATAGACATTTTCAATGTCCCGGCCTGCGCATTAGCACAAAAGGGTGTCCATTGTTGCTTCTCACTAAGCAGCGATTTACCTTAATAACAATACAGTCGAACTGGCATAAAGCCGCTGAGTCGTCATAATGTAAATTCAAGAAATCGCCCTTGGCAAATCTTCGCAATATGTACTTTGTCCGATTGCTATGACATGGCGCCACAACTCTAAAGCATGTAAAATGCGGCTGATTGGTATTGGTAAGATGGCCGCATCGGCGGCCTCATATCAGCGACTGGACAGGGCGCCTGAAGCACTATCCAGGTGATTGTGACGAGTTGTCAAGAGACGCCATATACATCCTTCAGCGTGGCTAACTTTAAAGTTACATTCCCAAAACTTCTTTTTTTTTCTTCTTTTTTGTATTTGGACATTCAATTTTTTTTTCAAACTAACCTGCGAACCATTTACTGCAGTGAAGACGTAGCCGATGTAAGGTATCACGTTGCCGGCCAACAGGGGAAGTCCAAGAACCCACGTGATACCAAGCAGGAACATCAAGGAAGCCGATCCCTTCAACCATGACCTGGACAGAAAACACCAATTTATATAATGCATGGCTTGCACTTGACGTCATCACACTATGCTGGTGGAGATTCCTATGTGTTCTTGTAGAGAAAAAACAAATTCGCGGTGGCGCGAAATTTATGCTGCAGAAGTTTATACATCTTCAGCAGCAAGGCCGCCAGAAGAGCAGATGATCGTCAATGGAAGCTTTGTTAGCTGCTTTCCACCAGAACTTCCGCACTCGCAGCTTTTGTGTTCCACGGAAGTGTCGCAGGGAAATATTGTACTTAGTTGGTGTATTATAACTATTAAATTTTGCCCCGTTATGTTGTGTCCTTCATTGGCGTATCCTTGTTATTTCCTTCCGTAGAACAAACGTCCAGGCTCACCTTTCAGGCATTCATTCACGATCTCACAATCGACAATTATTTGCTACCTGTCGACCGGCATGAACGATCAACATAGTTTAGGATATTTTGGTCGTGCGTGACGTAATGTTTTAGGTTTTCGTAATATTGGGTAGTCTGAATGGCGAAGGTACATCTAAGATGCCCTAAATAATTAAAAACAAAACGTATTTAAATTGTCCTAGGCTGCTGTGTTTCATGACCAGCAACTAACGAAAAGTGGCATGGTTAGACTTACAAAAGAAACAAGTGCCCATTATTGGAAGTTTTATTACAGGAGCTTACCCAATTTTGTCGGGGGAGCGTTGCTGGGCTTTTATCTTCACCTTCGACGCCGAAATCAGAGCGATCACCAGTAGAACACTATTTACCTGAAAAGCGTTTTCAGAGTCTTGAGATCGAGACAGATCTCCGACAATTCCTAATACTCACGTCGTACCAATCTCTATATGGGGAATTTCTCGTACATTCGCAAGCCACAGACACAAGCAAGGTTATTATTGCCATCAGTAAGTAAGGCTTCTGAACACAGACCTCCAATAAAGTCAGCGTTCATAAATACGAGGTCAGTGAACCTTCGTTACAACTAACGGCTTGTTGTTTTCGATGACCTCGTAGCTGACTGGTTTGGGGATAACAATAGGCTACATTCTTAACTCCACGGTTCATTGAAGGAACTATCTTTTTTTTTATAATGCCCTGGGCCTCGGGTGGCGCCGGCGTGCGACTGAGACTTTTGGTACTTCTGGCATCCACTGACAAAGTCGATAATAGAGGAGTGTAGCAACAAATAGGTATACTCACACTGATGACAACAATCATTGGTCCACAGAAGTAGAATATATCTTCACCAACAAACCAGCAGCTGTAACACCATAAGATATGTGTTGTTCGAGGGTAAGACGCGATACCCAAATTACTGAAAAGGTAGAACACTCACAAGTTAGGTCTGAAGTTACTGCTGGTCAGAGGCGTTGCCACTGTAGTAATAGCCAATGGAATCCCTGGACAATACAAATCAGTTTATGGTTAGCAAAATCGCACAGGCAGAAAGGCGTGCTCATCTCTTTCTTGTTCTTTGCTGATTTTTTTTTTTCATATCTACCAGCAAAGCTTAGAGTCTGGAAAACCTACCGTAGCCAACGGCGTAGAACCACGACACCGGAATTTGGTTGTTGTTGAAGACGACAACGAGCATCCGGTACAAGTGGTAGCCTTCCAGCAGCATCCACATGAAAGCAGAGAGCAAGACACACAAGAGAATACTCCTTGTCACCATGCAAGCGACCTAAGAGAGAAAGCAGAATGCATCCACATGCAGGAATCAGTGGGACATCATCCAGCTACCAGAAGTCACTGAAAGGTTGAGAATGGCAGGGATTGTCTTTCTCAGTTTTCCCCCCAACAAAACGTGTTGCTTTCTGTAACCTTCCGGCGTTTATTTGAGGTTGGCCGTGCTCATATCCGGCCAAAGCAAAACCAAAATTAGTGAACTGGCACTGAAGGCAGGCACCAAACGAGATGCTTTGTCATATCTAATGCGTAAGAGAGAAGATGACGCAGTGTAGGTAACTTACGCTGTGTGAATACGTCTGCTCGAAGCCCATCATCATGATTAGGTTTGATACGAGGAGGCAGAAGCAAGTGTTGCAGGCAATGGTGCTCCTTCGGCAGTGAAGGTTCCTGAAACGATGCGATTCTTCAGCTCACGTACGTGTTAAGTGTACAAATGAAGAAGTCCCAAATCACCTGAGACAAAGAAGGCAGGCCATGGTAAGCATAAGGGCAATGATGGACAGGACGGAGCAAACTATGGTGAGGACCTTGAGGGGAATACTGTCTTCCATCTGTTCACGATAGGATTATTATGTCAGAGGCTCATTTCATAACCACAACATTCATTAGCGATTCCGAACATCGATCTTTTAGTAATTAAATTAAGAATAATAGTTCAAACCATAACTTGAGCTTGAAACAAGACTTAAATTTACTTCGGCTGTGGCAGCTACCTACTTTTAAAGATAACATATTTTTATGCAATCGAACTAGTCAACCAGCATAAAAGTTTAGGCATATTTTTTTCTTCAGAATATATAATGTGGGATTTTGATAGCTAAACTCTCTTGGGTCGTTGATATTGTTTCTCGTTGCCGTAATGTTTTACCACTCAACATTAAACTTTAAATATATTATGCATTATTTCAATCCCACTTACATTATTGTCACTTTGTATGGGCTACTACAACAAAAACAAACCTTAAAAACACACCATACTACAAAAGAAAATAATACGATATATGGCTGATGTTTCCTACACAGGCCACACAGAACCTTTATTTTGAATATATCAAATGATTCCGGTTGAACGCATGTATGGGTATCGTTTACTTTGTTCCATTCGTTTGTCATCCACACTATACATTGATTTTTCATTCACTATTTCTGACCTTGCAAAGCATAGCAGTGATGTTATCATACGCCGCAGAGAAGCATGGATCCTCCCTTGTTCCCGCACAAACTACAATTTACAAACTCTACATTATAATGTACCACTCCTTTTAAATAAACGCCTCACAAGCAACATAAACATATACACGATTAACAAACGAGACTTGCGCTCTTATAACTTCGTTGTTTCCTAACTTAGTGTTATAACTTTTACAAAGTTCTAATTTTTAATCTTTTTTTTTTTTTGTTTCAACAAGTGTTACGCTAGTAGAGTGTTACACTGTTAAGCTGCTGCCAATGTAATAAGGGACCAGACCCAATCAAGCTGTCGCAGCAGCTTTTTTTCTGGGACTCCTTTCAGTGTTTCTAGAAAATAAAGCTTTGATTGATTGGTATTTCTAAGGAAGAAGGAAGCCCTACAGTAGCATGGTTGGTCCCATAATTATCACGTCGCCTTTATGGTCTCGGAGTTTTCTGACCCCCATCACAGGAAGTCAAAGACTAAAATAGCTGTGGCATTGAGTGAAACGAATACATGAAAGGATAACATCGAGAACGGGGACGAAAACAGGACCTTTTTCGTTGAGCAACAACATAGAATGGCAAAAAATATGAAACCACCCTTCCAAAGGTTTCAAAATTCTCAAGGAAGGAAAGGAGAAAATTGTCAATGGAAAGGGAAAGTTACTATAAATTTAGAAGTTTAAAAACCACTGGCGTCACGACGAGGTATTAGTAATCTAGTTATCTGTGGTGTTAGGAATTCGACCTTTGTCTTTGTCAGTGAAAATGAAGGTGTAGAAATGTTGGTGACAGTACCCATATGGCAAATGATTCAACGATTTTCCTCCCAAATCTGTTGTTGTGCCCGCCCTGTATTCTAGGTTTTATATTTTGTGCCATTCTGTATTTTTGCTCAATGAAAGTACTCTTTCCGTGTCCGTCCGCGATGTTCTATCCTGTCATGTATTCGTATCTATTCACCAACACGCTGGTTCTCAATTATCATTGAGTGTACTGCACTTAAGATGTCCTAGGGTCACCGATATTCAAAGAGTACAGCATCCCACAGCGTCTGCTAGAAATAAAGAAACGAGCTTTCAAACTGGCTGGCAGCGGCCCATTTTGACGCTTGGAGAAAAAAAAAAAAAGCATACAAACGTTTAGGAGAGAACTGTAAACGGCTGGTGACTTTTGGCATAGCTGGTAACTAAACGAGTGCTAATTTTCACTACTGCTTCCTATATCAAGTGGCTCCTAGTTGGCTAATGGTGAAGCCGGCTTGTTTGCCTGCTTGCGAGCAGGTGCTACCATCTCTGCCACATCCGATTTGATTCAATTGCAAAGGGCTTCTATTTTGAGGTTGTCGAGTGCGGCGCCGCGGCGCGGCTCTGAAACGAAGCTCGTGAGTTTCGTCGGGTCCATATCACGAATGACGTTTTAGCGAACAGCGACATTTGAGCGAATCAACGTTTCTGGCGAATAACGGGGCCGCGTGCTAACCCCGCTCCCCCGCTACCCCCCCCCCCCCCCCCCCCCCCCCCCGCTCCCCCCGTGCTGCGCCTACGCCGCTTCGTGGCGACAGTCTGCGGTGGTTCGTTACAAAAATGTGAACCCACTTGGCCCACCCGGAAACGGTGCTTCGCGGCGTCCGACTATTCGCTAAAGTGTCATTCGGTGAAACGTGGGCGTTCGCTAAAACGCCATTCGATCAAGTGAGTGCCTCCCAGTTTCGTCACAATGGAAGCCTTCAGTGACGCTATGTCCTTTTAAACCACGTTGCTAATACATCATACATAAAACTATGTGCAGACACTGTCTGACGCGTGTTTCTTGCTTTACGGCAGTCCTGTCGCATGGGTCATACAAGAACCGTCTGCAGACACGTTCAAGCATGTTCGGAGCTGCTTCGAACATGCTTGAGGCGCAGATACTTCTGTCCATCCTGCCTGCAGCGAACACCATTCCCTTTGCACGATGTATAAGCAGTGTAGAAGCGGCTTTAGGAATTTGTTTCCAGGTAATAAGCGCGCAGTGACGTTCGGCCGCCCGCGAAAAGCAATGTCCGTCGTTCCACCTGCCCAGTCCTGTCCAGGAGGACGGCAAAGTTGGTGAGGTGGTTGCATCGGCACGTGGTCTTCTGGAAATCGGAGGCCCAGTAGTCGACCTCGCAGCCTCCGTCGTCCCATCCACCGGTGCCATTATTCCTGAAAGTTGCGAAAACAGTCGTGAAATGGCTAAAATGCCGCGAGCGTGGGAGCACGAGACCTTGGCTTTGAAAGGTGCTTCCGCAGAACGAGCGCTCGCGGTAGAAAGACATGGATCAAAGTCAGAAGCGCGGGCTAGCTTGTGCTCGTATCTATGACTGTAGTCTCAGCCCAAGTGTGAACTCAACTCTCTGACGTCACGCCCCGGTGGTGGCGCTGCTGTCTGCACTGCGCATGCGCATGAGCTTCACTCCTCCCGAATTTGGTTTCTGTACACGCCCAGTGCCCACAACTGGTGTGGACAAAGCGGGCTTGTTTGTAAACAGTGTGTTGGTGTGTAGACACGTTGATTACAGATACAACATTCGTGTGCAGAAAACCTGCTAGCCGCTCGCGTGCATATAAACACTGCTGGATGTTTCGAAACCTGAACGAGGTTTCGAAACCCGGTCGAGGTGTCCTTACAAAAGGACCCCTCGCAAAGGACAACGTTACAGGGTAAATGAAACTATTTTTCTGGCATCTACGGATGAATCAGAAGTGCTTCGTGTATTTATCGGACTGGGAAATAGCAAAAGTCATGATATAGATAACATACAAACTGTTAAATTTGTGATAGATGTCATTTCCCCATTATTAGTTTATATCTTTAATTTGGCCTTGTCAACTGTCCAATTTCCAAATAACATGAAACTCGCAAAAGTTTCTGTATTACATAAGGGAGATAGAAAAATATAGTTACAAATTATAGACCGATATCTGTCCTGCCCATTTTTTCTAAACGGCTGGAAAAATATTATTCTGTGGCGTTTCGACGACTTATTTGTCAAAAATTTAGTGTTAACGGACTCTCAATTCGGATTTTGGAAGGGAAAGTCTACAGAATGTGCATTATTATCTCAAAAGGAACTTATATGGCGTAATATAGAACGAAAACAATTGGCGCTGGGGCTTTTTATTAATTTTAATAAAGCATTCGACTGTCTTAATCATACAACGCACCTTGATAAGCTCTCGTCTTTCGGTGTACGGGGCACCTCTCTAGCCCTTGTTCATTCATATCTAGCAAAGCGTCAGCAATGTGCCTCAGTGAATAATTATGTATCTTCTTTTGCAACTACTGAAATCTGGTGTGCCGCAAGGCAGTATACTTGGCCCGCTGATGTTCAATGTGTATATCAATGACATAGTGAGTATTTGCCATAAATCAAGGTTCATTATGTATGCCGACAACACTAGTATTGTGCTGTCGCGACGGATATTGATGATTTTTTTACAAACGAAAACAATGTGCTGGAGAAGTTTTCTTTATGGTCGGAGAAAAACGGTCTGAAGGTAAATGCTGCCAAATCGAAGGCTGTTGTTTTCAGACCTGTAAATAAATTAATTAATACTAGTTATGCTCTAACCATTGGAAGCAGTCAGATTGAAATAGTAAGCTATCATAAAACGCTAGGTGTAATTTTTTTCAAAATGTATGCAGTGAGATCATCACATAGAATATTCAGCCCACAAACTGGCAAAAATGGTTGGAATTATCGGTCACTGTCGGTCTCTATTGCCTACGAATCTTAAAACTTAAGTTTATCATGCTTTGTTTAGTTCACAAATTAATTATATGCACCTGGTATGGGGCACCACCACTAAAACAAATATCAGTAGGCTAATGATTCTACAAAAAAAGATGCTGCGTTTTATTGCGAATGTTCCCTGTGATACTCATGCGAAACCATTGTTTTCAAACTATAATGTTATGAAAGTCTCCTATGTTGATGACTATCGTTTGTTGTCCTCGTATTTATTATCATCTACAGAGTTCATTGCTTTTTTTATCCGTTCTATCAAATCTAACCAAACGCGAATTCGTCATCAATATCCGTCGCAAAGAGTTCTGGAATGTTCCTCATTTTCGCACCAATTCTGCATTACAATGCCTTGTTCATAACCTGCGTAAACTGCTGAACAGATTCATTACAGATGGTGTTGATATTCATTGTGTAACAAAAAAATCACTGTATGCTTACTTTGTTTAGACAGATATTCTTGTGTCCTTTTGCTTCATTTTTAAACGATGTCATGTACCTACAAGGGCACCGGACCCTGTCACGTCTCCTCATAGGGGCTTTTTGTCCGGTGTCCTCGACACCATTGTGGCGGAAATAAATTCAATTCGAATCTCAAACTAGCGGTCCGGAAGTGGAGATGTCGAGTGCACTTTACAGATCACTCTAAGTTAATCCTCCGACCCTCGCTTAGTCATTCATGCTGTACCTTTGATTGCAGCATCACCACCACCAGCTACATAATTTTTTTACTAGGAAATTGTTTTTTATGTGGTTCAAGGCCTCAAAGAAGATTAGGGGCGTTGCCATCAGAATATTTGACAGGCAATTCACTTATTTTTTTTTCCCTACCAATATTTTAAATCTCTTAATCATCGACCAAACATAGTATCTCCTTCTGTCGGTTTGTCTCGATGTAGAAATATTTCAAGTTCCATCAAGTGGCTCCAGCGCCTTTCACCCAGTGCAGAGGGGAAAAAACCGACGAGATACAAAGCCAAATATACAAGCAAGTGCTAAAGGACGCCCAAACACATAACACTGAAAAAAAAAAAAAAAAGCCATGGGAGGCGCGAATGCAGCGCTCACGCACTGGAATCAAATTTCAAATTCAAATTCAAATTCTTTATTGATCCCTGAAACAGAGAAAGGAGGCAGAGAAAAAAGCAACTGACACGCTGCTTGACTAGCCTCTGCCCCCCATAGCAGCCCAGGGAAGAACAAACATAAACGTAAAGACACTAGCATTTGACATATTCATTATAGCATGGAAAAGACAACATCATCTATATTGCGAAACAGAGAATGTAAACAAAAAGGGGGAGAAAAAGAAACGAAAAAGTATGTAAAAAAAATAACAACACGCGCAAAACGCATACAATCGTGTTATACTGAACTTTTTTTTTTTCTTACATGGGAGTAACCATTAGACAAAAAGTGAACATATTTGTTTGTCGGACATGCTGAAGATATCTATATCAAGTTCATAAAAACGATTAAGAAGACGGGGGAGGGTACATTTTAACATCTGATCCCCATAGTTTGTTCTTGATTGTGGCACTATCCATATCTCAGCATTACGAGTTGGATAATTTGCTTGTCTAAGTGCAAGTTGGGAAATTGATAGATACATATTTTCGCTCTGTCTAAAAGACCTTTTGTAGGAAAGTGCAAGTTTATAACTATAGTGATTTGGAATTTGCACTATATTAAATTTATGAAATAATGGCTCGGTATGACTATCGTATGCTGCATGACATAAACCTCGAATTGCTTTTTTTTGAAGTGTATGTATTATTTTAAGATTTGTAGCAGTCGTATTACCCCATACTAGAAAGCAATAGTTGTAGTATGTGTAAAAAAGAGACTTGTATATAAGTAGCATAACAGAGGTGGGAATCATATTTCGGTATTTATATATAACCCCAACAACTTTCGATAGCTTATTACTTATCTGTTGCACAGTTTCGTCCCAACACAGGTATTCGTTAAATATTATTCCTAGTACTTTTACATTTTCTACTATATCTATTTCATTTCCACCAAGTGAAGGGGTAGTCATGAAGGTACATATTGTATTACGTGACCTGAATAGAATGGCTTTAGTTTTATTTACATTTATTTCTAAGGAATTTAATATCGTCCAAGCATTTAGCTTTTCAAGATATCGATTTGCCTTTTGAATAATTTGGTCAGCGTCGTTCCCTGAGAAAAAGAGAGAGGTGTCATCTGCATATATGATGTAACTAACTGTATCATCAATACGTACTATATCATTGATATATAAATCAAAAAGAAGTGGCCCGAGTGTACTGCCTTGAGGCACGCCTGCTGTTAATTTCCTGAGATCTGATCTATTTTTATTGATTTCTACACATTGATAGCGGTTTTCAAAGTAACTTTTAATCATTTCAAGAGCGACACCGCGAACACCTAACATGTATAACTTTTGAATTAACGTTTCGTGATTAAGGCGATCGAATGCTTTCGAAAAATCTATAAACACTCCGAGTGTAACCAGTTTATTTTCAATATTGTTTAAAATCAATTCTTTTTGCTTTAACAGCGCGAGTTCAGTGGAGCGACCTTTTCTGAACCCGAACTGACAGGGTGTCAGGATTGGAAATTTGTCACAAAAACAGTATAATCGTTTATGTAAAATTTTTTCTAGACCTTTCGAAAATATTGGTAATACGGAAATAGGCCTGTAATTTCCTAAGTTATTTTTATCTCCAGCTTTATGTAAAACTGAAACTTTTGCCACCTGCATTTTCTTAGGAAAAACCCCTGTTTGCAACGCTAGGTTAAAAATATGTGTCAAACACGGAACAATAGACCGTAGTACATGCTTAATAGGTTTAATTTGAAGCTGATAAAAATCACTGTTCCTGCTATTTTTTAAGTCTTGAAAAACTGAGTATACTTCATCTTCATCAGTTGGATGAAGAAACAAACTGTCATGCACGCTGATCATATATTTGGAAGCATGCTCACTATGTGTACTATGAAGAAGTTCAACAAAATATTCATTAAATTTTTCTGCTAAAGCCACACCACTTATATCAATACCATCAATTTTAAGTGTTGTTATCTTGTCTATATGCAATCCATTTTTCATTAAACTATTCAACTTTTTCCAAACCACATCGGACCGCATATCCCCATTAAACAAATTGTTGAAGTATGCGTGTTTAGCTTGTCTTAGGGCTTTAGTTACCGCGTTCCGTTGTTTTCGGAAGGCAGACAAAATGGCAACATCTTTGCTAAGTACAAATTTATGATAAAGAACATTTTTCTTTTTTATCATGTTTAATACCCGCATTTTTAATATCAACTCCTAAGAGCTCGTGCTCTGTGCCGTTAGTGTGGATGCTTTGTCTCCACTCGCACTATGTTCAAAGGGAATCACCACGAGCCTTATACACCTTTTCCACGAGGGCTCTGTCATCTTGAATGTCGTCACTTCTGGTATGCGGTAGAACATCGTTTTGATCTCTCCACGCCGCTGAAAGGTGTTTACGAAAAATGTGTGATTGTCACACATTCTTGTTTTGCCTCACTTATAATTTCTCGCATATTCCAGGTTGAAATGCTTTATTATTTTTTCGTCCCGCATACCAGATACGGAACCCACGGAACTGAGAACCACAGGAAACAAAAAACGTCTATAGAGAACCATAGATAAACAAGAGAACGCTGCCCCTAAATTCAATCTGGGTCTCGAGGTGAATAGCATATAATAGACCAGCTCTTTTCAAAAGCTTCCAGGGGCGTTAGATAGAACGCTCGCGCAAACAGTACACAAACGTCCCATTGTGAACATGTCGGTCCTACCAAAGGTAAACGCAGATGACGAAGGTTGTCCACGAACCTTGAGAAGTTCCAGAAGGCACAGATGACCCGTCCGCGGAGTTGACCGTCCGAGTGGGATAGCGTGGCGGTCACAATGTTCTTTTCGAACAGAAGCGAGCTGTTTTGCCGGCCGAAGGAAAACCCAACCAGGGCTGAATTCACCACGAAATTGCCGGGCGGTCTAGAAGCAGAAAAGAAAGCAAACTAAACACGGAAGTATTGGGACAGAGAAAACAATTTCAAATCTATGTTTAATAAACATGTTTTCGGTTGAGGTGCGGCTAGGTGAGAGTCACAGACATCTTCAGAAACGCAGAGCGCGGCGAACCCTGAGCATTTCATTATTGCTTCAAAGCCATTGAGGTTGCCTCCTTTGCCAACAGGAGCGCCGAAGAGCGAATCACGAAGCAGGAAGTGTGAACACAGTTAGCCACACCCCACTTTGCTTATGCTGTCGGTGACAGCTGGGCACCGTTTGACCACGGAAGCCTCTTTATGCCCTGCTCATATAGTAAGTTTCAGCGAGATGTTACACCGTCGTTGCGCTTGGTCTTTGACCTTTCACGCTAAAGTTTCCGGGAAAGCTTCACCATCGAAATCTATCGTGATTAAATTGGTGCATAGTTGGGCGCTAATTCAGTCTCCTTCTGAATCACTTGAATTGATCTATAATTTGCAATAATTCTAACGTATAAACACAATGACACATTCTGCGACACCTTTACCCGGTGCGGGCTAAGGGGACATACATTTTGAGGAATCTTTAGTCTGTTATTTCTACGTGCGTGCAGATTAAGTTTAAATCCTAAAATGAAAAAAAAAAAGTACTTCAATGTTTTACCGCGGCCATTTTACCGCGTCAATTTTACCGCGGCCCTTTTGCCGCGGCCATTTTTCCGCGACCATGTTACCGCGGCCATTTAACGGCGCGGACATTTTACCGCGAACATTTTACCGCGGACATTTTACCGCGGCCATTTTCTTGCGGCCAGCCGCGGTCCGTCGAAGATTCGCGGTTCTGATCTGGTCCGCGGGCCGGGGTTTGGAGACCCCTGATTTAATTCGTAATTTGATAAAAGTTTATCAATTTCACCCTCTTCTCTTCCTTTTTTTTTTGTTTGTTTTGTTTTTACGATAGGCTTTGAACATTTGAACAGTACCGCAGGAGTCTAGCTATTAGTAGAGACAAATACAAGAGTGCTATGCGAGGCAGTTTCTTAATGTCTGTTGTTATTTCTTTCATTGCAGATGCATGTACTAGGCAAACAAACCTAACTTCTTATCGTTGAATTACTTAATATGGTGCAGAGATGAGGCAAAGCAGCTGCCAAATTACTATCTTGTTTTGTTTGCTTTAATCTAAATATATCGATAACAATCAACTATCCCTTGAAAGGCCGGAATTCAAGCGAGCCCGGCCAACACCACCTAGACAGAAGGCCCCCGCATGGTTTCCTCTTCCTCTATGAAACGTCATCACAGTCGGATCGCGCTTGGTCGGCTATTGGACCCGAGCCCGACCTTTGACGCGCTGATTGGCCACGAGCCGCAGCCGAACACTGACGCAGCACTCGTGCCCAATCTCTCGCCTCGATCGATCTGACTATGGTGACGCGTGTGGAGGCCTTCTGTCCAGGTGGTGTTGGCCCGGCACTATTTATTCAATCCAATAGATAACCGCGCCGGTACTCGCGCTCGCCAAAAAAGCTATCCATTTTGTCTTCTCCTTTATTAGTCTAATTACACTGAACCTAAAACTTTTTGCTAAAAGTGGCTCATTTAAGAGCAGTCTGAATAAAAATTAGGTCGAGAATAGAAACGTCTATTCACTCTTGCTGAGACTTGGGCAGGACGGCTGTTGTCGGATGCAGAAGGTCGCCAAAGTTTCGGAAGATCGTCCCAAAGCCCACGTACGCTGAATCTCCGCAAACTTGGGGTAACCCCTCCAGGGAAACTGCACCACCTAGAAGTTGAAAATAAAATAAGCATGACGGCGCCTGGGTCGTCGATTTCCAAAATTAAATAAAATAACAACCTCAAATTAATCTTTTTTTTTTTAGTCATATACAATGTGAGAACGGCAGGACATGTCTTTCGAACGCCATGCCTCCAGCACACGCTTCGTGCTTTCCGTGGTGCTTTGACTGCGCACGCGCGCTCGAGATGCATGACATACTGAAGGAATTCTCAAAGGTAGTAGGCTCGCGCCGGGGGGGGGGGGGGGCGCAGGGGGGAAAGGGGAGGGGGGGGGGGACCCCTGAAGCTCTTCCCTGCCGTTTTCACTCTGTAAGTGTGATCGTACTCTTACTAATAGTAACCCCTCTCCCTAAAAAAAAAAAGAATACAAAATTACAACAGGGCAGTAAAGCATTACTGGCCCCGGACTTCACGCGAAATAGCTCTAATAAAATGCGTAACCTCTTACGTTATAAATCGAAAAATATATTTTTAAAATTTGTAAAAAAAATTTGCAAGGTTTAGCCAAGCACGGAACAGGTATGCCACATAACACAACGTGCCACGCAGTACGATACCAGAAAATTTTGTACTGGCATTCCTACCGTGCATGGCAAGCTTCGTTCAGGCCCTAAAGTATTCGTTCAGCCATGATGCACTGAGCCTACCAAGCACGCTCGATTTAGCCCCTAGTGAACGCATATTCATATGACGTCTATTTCATAAGGGAGCTTCAAGGACGAGATATATGGCACCGAGCTATGGTCGCGTCCAAAAATAATGTCTTGAGCGGGACGAACCTTCTATTCTTATCGCCGTTTCAGTGCCGTCATCGCAGTCAGGAAAGCACACCTCTGTACCGCTGAACGGAAACCAGTAGGTCTTCAGTTCTGAAAGAGATATATATTGAACGACTCCTGTAACAACCCTCGCTGAAATGCTTATCCCTTTCATTTCAAAATAGTGTCTTAATTTGCACTCGAGAGACCGGACTCTCTCGAGGACTCGGATGTCCACGGGTCCCAGTCGGGCATTTTTTGAAACAGGTGCATATCCGTCGAAACGAAATTCTTTTGTCCATGGACAAAGGCCCGGATTGCCCGCTAAGTGCTAGAGTAAAGAGCATATACTAGGTCCACTTAACAACGCTCCTATGTACACAGCCCGACACTGCTAGCGCTAACGTGCGATCACCGCGTATTCTTTGTTTTTGTCCTAAAATCAAACGGCCGTCTTAAAATCTGGCAGAAACTTATCAGAATCTGTCCGAGTAAATGCAGCTTTTTTGACGTCATTTATTGCCACTTCAGGACCTTTTCTGATGTGTGGGCGGGATAGGACGCTAATGAAAGCAGCAGTCAGATACGGGTGCCATATGCACTGAATATCCGTGACATCTGGCATTCATTTTGCGCATGTTCAGACGGATTTCAATGGGCCACCGCGCGTGAACTCACCGATGTTCTCTTTCCGAATGAAGACGCCTGTTCGGTTCTCGGCGGTGCCGTTGTCCGAGTCCATGGACGAGGAAGCCCAGAAGCAGCTCAGCTGTTCAGCAACCATCTCCGTCTCGCGCATGATCTCGCTGGCAATCCTGTGCTTCTTCCTCTGATACAGCGGTAAACCAAAGCCTGGTTTAGCATTGCCAGCTTTCTTTTTCATGGGGGCTGGACAGTAAAGTCTTTAGATGTTCGTATTTGTTCGGATTACGGCGCGGCAAAATAAAAGCCTCCAAATACCAAATGCACATTTAGATTGTTTGAGAACTTGTACACGCAGTGAAATTAACGAGATCACTGTTCCCGCTTTTTCTCGGCGCTTTCGGGAGTATCACACCATCTGCTAGGCATACGACTTGACTTCACCTAAAGTTATTCCGACAGTCATGGAAGGCATATTTTGAGAGCCCCAGCGCCGTCGTGGGGATGTTTATGGTTATCGTTACGGCTTCTCTCTCTCTTTATAAACTTTCGATCGCGCAAAGAGGACCGATGACTCGTCACTTACGTATTTTATCCTTCCATGAAATAGGAGCTGCATGCAACGTAAAGTGCATGTATATTTTTATATAAAAAATATCTAAGTAAATTTTAAGCAGGGGAAAAATCCCATCAAACGTATATAGTCCATGCTAAACTTTTAACTTTTTCTTCTTCTTTGACGTTCAACTACATTCTACAATTCTGACTAAACCTCCCAAGGCGACCTTTCTAAATTGGTGTAACGAAAACGATTTAGCTTTCCGCTGCATGTTCCGCTGCATGTACGAGCATGTCACTTGGTGAAATAATTAAAATTGACGCTGTGAAAATTGTACAGAAAAGTATCGTCGTCACGGAGATTTCACTAAACGAGATAGAGAGACATTTACAAATTAAAACGCGCTCGCCCGTATTTTTTATTTCTTAATTTCCTCGTTACTACGTTCTTTGTATGTATAGGCTCGTTCGTGTTCAGACACACGTTTAAAAAAGAAAATAAAGATAATAGCCGCATGCGTTCATGGCAAGAGGTGCGCATGGCTCTACCTGGACATCGAAACCGGGAAGGTAAGCGGACACGGGCGACTGGTTACTGTCCTCCCTCCAGGAGAGCGAACGAGTGTTGTGGGCGATCCTGTCCAGCGTCCCAAGGACATCACTGGTGAAGTTGATGTTTTCGGCGGGAGGCAGGCGCTGCCTTTGCGACTGGCTCCTGGCCAGAAGGTCTTTGACGAAGTCCAAGATGCTAGCAAACGCCGTCATGTCCTTGGCCTCGTCGCTGAAGGAGAGGTCTCGGAGTTCCTTAGCCGCGGACGCGGAGCTCACCATGTCCTGAGAGAGCTGACAAACCGGCGGGGAAAAAAAAAACGCAGTCATTTTTAAGTTGCCGCCACGCTGCTCCTCATAATACAAAGGGCAGTTTGCAGAAACTGTCTGAGGTCTTTCTTGTATGACGCTCTTGTCACATCGGTCAAACAAACACTGTCCGAAGACATGTTCGAAACATTATATGATGCAGACATGCTTGAGGAGTGTTCGCAGATCATTCTGGCATTATGTTTGCAACGAACATCGCGTCTCTAGCATCACGTATGAGCAACGTGACGTCTGTGTCCGCAGACACTTGTCCTTCCTCAAGAAAGGAATTCGACTATCTTTCAGCTCTGGTTTGGAAAAGGGCGGGATGAGCAAGGTGATGACCTCCTGAGAACTCTTTCCTTGTCTGCCCTGCCTCCCCCCTCACGCTTTTGAGATATTCGGCGAAACTTTAGCTCGTAATTGCGATTACGCGCGGTTGTTTCTGTCAGTGCTTACCCTGAGACGCATGTCGCTGATGGCGTTGGACAGGCAGGATTTCCACGTACCCTTTCGAACGTCTTGCCAGACACACGGGCGTGTTTTACTTCCTGCGGAGAGTTTTCCCATTCGGGTATGAAATGAGTCGGAAACCTAAACAACGACCGCAAAAAGAAAGTCGCACTTTGCAACTGAAGATTGATGCTCACCCTTGCTCTCTTTTTCTTCGAGACAGAGACTTCCACGGGCGGACCTCGTCCCTTGTGCTTGACTCTGCTCGGTCTTTTGCCTCGTTTCAGAGGAGCAGGGATCGTCTTGATGCTGCGCTGGGCCGTCACTAAAGGAAGAGGGTGAAGGTCACTTTCAAAAGCCTGCAACGATGACCGCATAACTCTGCCCTGCTCTGACGTGGCAACACTTTCCTTTTGAAATTTCAGTACCTGAGGTAAGTGAAATAGAGTTACAAATAAAAACAACGTGTTTTGGTGAACAAAATTAAAGTGTATTTGCGGCTGTAGAGAATCCAGCTCTTTTAAAATTGTACCAAGACCCAGCATATGCTTCTGTCCCTTATTAGCATTGTCCCTTATTAGCAGGTTTAAACGTATATAGTAGTATATCACAACGACATTTGTTTTATTTTGTTTAATCTTAGAAACAAAGTACAGAGTGCACATCACAAGTTTTCGTTATATTAGACACGCAAATTCAGACACGAATAAAGGACGCCAGTGCGAGCTCTTATATTGACGAAGGTAAGAGTTAAAAAAATGTCTGACTTTTTATCTCTCACTATGCTCTGTGCATATATATATATATATATATATATATATATATATATATATATATATATATATATATGTGGTGATTTCGGACTTCAATGTAGAAGAAAAAAGAGGACGACGACGAAAAGGAATGCTGATGTGGCTGGTTGACTGTGTGTTTGTGTGCACGGAGAAAATTTGGCGCGAGTGGCGCGTGGTGGAAAAAGAAGAAGTAGAAGGAAGCCTGGAAGTGACCGAACAGGACAAGCGAGCAGGATCTGGTGGACGAAAAAACCGACCCGCAACGATAGGCGTGGTCGGCACGGCTTCAGTTCGTCGTCCACAAACACAGGCCTGGTCAGCGGGCCTCCGGGGCTGCCCTGCCGCTACTTCAGGCCATACTCTTCAAGCCACCCCGTCGTCCACTACCCAGCCCCAACGCGCCAATCTACCTGGCATCAAGACTTCGGCGTGCCAACCATGGTCAGAACTCAGACCCGCTTCACGGACTATGTGAAGTACTCCTCTTTAATTACCCTTTAAGTGCTAGATTTTCCGATAATTAATTTTTTTGAATTTTCTCATTCTCTAGTGTTTAACGCTTTAATATATTTTCGTACTGGCCCAAAGATGTCGTCTCTTTGTCCATGCTCTTCGCGTCGCACACCCACGCAAGCGTGAACGCGGTCCACTACATATCTGGCGTCCGCGACAGGACCTTGCTCTTAACTGACACCCTAAAGAGCTTCACCTTGCGAAACGGTGCGACGGCTGAGAATGGATACCGAGAAATTAATGAAGGTTGGCCAGGAGTTGGGGTTGTCTGGGGCAGCTTTGAAACAATGGATGGATGAAGAGCGAGTGCGCGAAAGGGACCAGCGTACAGCAGAACGCGAGGCTACTAAAGAAGCAGAAGCCCTTGCTCGGGCTCGCTTAGACGCGGATGACCATACTCGTGCGCGCCTAGAAGCAGAACGTGCGGTACTGGAGCTCCAATTACGTTTACAGGAGCGACGAGAAAGTGCAGTAGAGGGAATTCCGAACGAGTCTGGTGCGGGTACACCTGCTGGCTTTGTACAGGGGTACCGGAGCCCACACAAGCTTATCCCCGTTTTCAATGAGAAACGCGACGAGCTTGACGCCTACATCCAACGATTCGAGCGGGTGGCAACGTGCCAAGAGTGGCCACAGGATAAATGGGCCTTGTCCCTGAGTCTATGCTTGACAGGGGAGGCATTAAGTGTAGTCGGACGCATGGCTGCTGACGCTGCTACAAACTACACTGTGCTTAAGCAGACTCTTCTCCAACGATTTCGGTATACGGAAGAAGGGTACCGCGCCAAGTTCAGAGAGGCAAGACCAGAGGAGGCAGAGACAGGCAGACAGTTTACTGGTCGTCTGTTGGGATATTTTGACCATTGGCAAGAAATGGCCAAAACGGAGCGCACCTACGACGCACTCCGGGACAAAATAGTGTCAGAACAGTTTCTCAAGAGATGTCACGAAAAACTGACCATCTTTTTAAGGGAAAGAGGCTGCCAAGGACTTGACAAGTTGGCGGAAGCTGCCGATCATTATCTTGAGGCTCAAGGACTAGTCCATCTTGGCAGAACAAATAAGGACCAAGAGGCGAAGCCACTGGGGAAAGCGAAGATTTCTAAACCTCCAGATGCAACGGGGAGACCCGCCTGTTTTCTTTGCAACAAACAAGGTCATCGTGCAGCAGACTGTTGGTCCAAGTCAAGAGGATCCAACCCAAAGTTGACTGTTTGCTGGAAATGTCGCAAAACCGGGCATAAAGCAGAGTCTTGCCCTAACAAGACAGACGCGGGTGGACAAGCATCGTGTTCCCTGGCGCCTCAGAATGAGCCTGGGAAAGTTGATTTAGACAGTCATTCCCTTAAAAGAAATGTGAAAGCTGAGGAGGATGAAAGAGGAATCGATGTTCAAACAGATGGCATGCCAACGGCTGAAGGACTGCTTGAACGACGCCCTGTCATTGTACTGCGTGATTCAGGATGCAACTCGGTCATCGTAAAGCGATCTCTGGTTCCTGATGACAAACTGACAGGAAGGAGTCGATCGATCTACCTTCTCGACCGGACAGTTCGATGCCTACCTGAAGCGGAAGTGGACATCGACTCTCCTTATTTCACGGGCACAGTAAGGGCAACCTGCATGGAAAGACCGCTGTATGATGTCGTCTTGGGCAACATCGATGGCGTACGGGATGCTTCTGCTCCTGATGTCAAGTGGAGAGCAGACCAGAAATTTCTTCCCCTGCAAGAAAAGCCCCACGAAAAACACGAAATCTTGGGCAATCAACGAATTTGGACAGGGACGACCTCCTCATCGAGCTCCGGAGAGCAGAAAGGCGAGCTTCAGGCTAGTGTGGTAACGATGCCGACCTCGGCGACAACTGCTGGGCTACCAGTTGCAGAAATAAATCCACTGGACATCAACCCGGCGGAGCTAAGCGCCAAGCAAAAGCAAGATGCTACCCTCAAAAGATGCTTTGAAGCAGTGGGAAGCAAGGTTGCCTCAAGATCAGCCGACATCGACTTCGTGCTGATGAACGGGATTCTTTTTCGACGATACAGACTTCCATCGCAAAAGGAAATGGAACAACTCGTTGTCCCAACTGGCCTCCGAACATTCGTTCTAAAAATGGCACACGAAGGAATACTATCTGGACATCAAGGAATCAAAAGAACGACAGATCGAGTGCTCGAAGAGTTTTACTGGCCAGGGGTACAAGGGGATGTCACGCGGTTTGTGAAATCATGCGACATCTGCCAAAGAACCGTTCCAAAACACTTGGTAGGCCGCGTGCCTTTGGGGAACATGCCCGTGATCGAGACGCCTTTTCAACGGGTAGCAATTGACATCGTGGGACCACTGTCACCAACCTCAGAGAAGGGCAACCGTTACGTACTAACCATGGTGGACTACTCGACCCGCTATCCTGATGCAGTTGCCCTGCCAAGCATCGAGACGGAGAGGATTGCGGAAGCTCTCCTCGAGATGTTTTCACGCGTGGGATTTCCTAGAGAAATCATCAGCGATCGGGGCAAATCATTCACATCCGGACTCATGAAGGAGTTTAGTCGTCTCCTCTCGTTTAAGCAGATGCCAACCACGCCGTATCATCCCATGGCCAACGGCCTCGTGGAACGGTTTAATGGCACGCTAAAACAAATGATACGACGAATGTGTCAAGAGAGCCCGAAAAGATGGGACCGATACTTGGCACCACTACTATTCGCGTATCGCGAAGTGCCGCAGGCCAGTGTTGGGTTTGCGCCATTTGATCTCCTGTATGGCAGGTACGTCCGAGGACCGATGGCCATATTAAAGGAAATCTGGACAGGAGAGCACCTTGACGAAAACACGAAGACCTCGTACGGCTACATGGTCGAGCTCCGCCAGCGCTTAGAAGACACTTGCCGGATAGCACAGGAGCAGCTCAGAAAGGCGAAGATAGTACAGAAGAAGTACTACGACAAGAAGACGAGAGTGCGCCAGCTAGCTGTTGGAGACAAGGTTCTACTTCTTCTCCCCTCCGAGAACAACAAGCTGATCCTGACCTGGAAGGGCCCCTTCAAGGTTTTGGAGAGAAGAAATGACATCGACTACGTCATTGATCTGGGAACAAGAAGTAGCCTATCCCATATTAACATGCTGAAAAAGTACGAAGAGAGACCGGTTTCTAACCAACCACCGCAGCATGCCTCAGTCGCGGTCCAGCACGAGGAAGTAGATGAAGAG